TGCCAATGGGGAGGATGCTGCTTGGGTAAATCTCATTTTTATTTACTCTGCACCTAGATGCTAGAAAAGCTAAGGTGTAGGTGCTCTGCAGAATTGAGAGATGAAGGAACATCTTTTTACAGAACTCTCCTGTCTATGGATCGTGGCTTTCTATTTGCTAATATTGCTTCATAAAGCAATATTAAGTGTCTTTGTCCTCTTGAAAGGGTTTATTTTATTTTGCAAGGATAGAGTGTCTGACCAATGGCAGGTATTCATTTCATTTTATAAAGAAAAACCTCTAGCCCTCCCTGTCACAGAAACATCCTTGAAAATGTGAATGAAGGGAGTGTTAAGGCAGGTCTCGTAATTGCTTCTAAAAATCAAAGTTTATTATCCCTCACAAATGAGGCCTTTTGGAATCAGTGAAATGGGCCCTTGAGTGGGAGGAGATAAAGGAGAGGAATCCACAGAGTGTGCAGGAACCTGTATTGTTTGATCACAAGATCCTTCTTACCTGGCTGCCTGTACCTGAGATATAAGTAACCAGTCTGGCATTGTCTTGTGAAAGAGGGAGAGACCAGATTGGATTAACCAAGTACGTGGCAGAATAAAGAATCCTCTACTGATTCTAACCCAAGTCCTGACAGCATGGAGAGCTGTAAAGGAAGAAACATGGAGAATTTCCTGTTGTGGCTTCAATCAATCAGCATTATCTTTATTATACAGATTGCTCAGATTATGGATGTTTCTTGTGGTGATGATGTTAACAAGGTACTACACAAATCATAGCTTGCATGCCATTCTTGTAGGCATTTAGGCAGTACTGTACCTAGACTTCTGGTGGCCCTGGGTGAACTTCTAGTATCAGGCTTCCATTTGCCAGAGCTGCTGCTGCTGATAATCATTATTTTCATCATTTCTGGGCCCTGGGTGGCCACCTAGATCACCCATACCTGCGTCTGGCTCTGCATTTAGGGATCGAAAGACTCTATGGCCACTCGGATCTGTGTTAAGATAAGTTTCCTTTAAATCTTTCTTAAGATACTTTCAACTTTATATAGACCCCAGCTCAAGGCTTTTGGTCTTACTTCTGTAGTTAATAGCCTAAAATTTACAATTTGCTGGCTGTAGCAGGAGGCTTGGTGCTCCTGCTACTTTAGGAGAAGGCAGACTGCAGATAGGAGTGGGCACACACAGCAGTTACTGTGGAACAGCTGACATATGGTAAGTCCTAACCCTCTTACTTTTGTTAGTTAGTGTTGGTGTGTGTGTGTGTGTTTTTTTTTTAATCTCTGTCCCTTGAGTCTTAGGCCAGTGTCTTCCTTTTACCTGACTATCTAGCTAACTGATGCTCAGAAATTGGATATATAGACTTTTAAAATGTATTTGTAATTATTTATACCGCAGAATAAAACTGACCTACTTAAGGCTAGCCTTGAAAAGTTCAAGCTGAACTTGTATGTTCTGAAGATCTGAATGCCTGTCTTTCCTAGGGATGCTTGGAGTGCTTTGGGGAATATGTCCAAAGAAGAAGCAATGATAGCCTATGTTGAAGAAATGAAAAAGGTAAGTAACTTCAGATGTGAAAAATAAACTTATTTGTGGAACCAGAAAATTTTGAATGAATATAGAAGACATGACTAGTTGCTAGCAAAGCTTCAGATTTGATATTTTTTTTTTTTTTTCCTGAGTGTTTGTTGAATTGATATTTAGATAGTCTGTAGGTAAAGTGTTTGAAGCCAAAAAGCTCCAGGGAACCTGTTCATGTAGTGTTTTGAAATGATACTATCAAATAAACTGAAATTTGAGCAAA